GTGGACGTGCATTGTGGTGGAGAATAAGAACACCTTTCTAATTGACGAGTGAAGTGTGTTTCTGATGAAGGGCTTAATTTAAACGTTCCAGTTGCCGACTATAGATCTCTGCATTTATAGCTCACTGTGGATTGAGGAGTTCGAAATGAATTACTCCTTTGATGTCTCACCAAATCCAAAACATCACTTTCTGTGGATGAATTCCATATTTTGGCGTAGAATGTGGTTTTTTTGTCTAGGACTGAGCCATTATTTTTGGCGTTTAATATTCGGGAGGTGGTTAATGAAAGTGTTCCAAAACGCGACATTAATTTCTTGACGACCTAATACATAGAGTTAAATACGTTATATAAAAATATTTAATATGGAAATCAACAAGCCACACGGCAACCATATCCAATATAAAATCGTGGTGAAACAGCATATAACAGATTGTATTTTGATATAGTTTGGCGTTTTGTAGGTAGTGGGATACCACCAAAATGTAATCCATTTTGGATACAATATGTAACAGACCTTCTCGAAGCAAAACTATTCATATTCTCAGATCATTATCATAAAGTTGTGTTCATATCAGGTATTTAGAATTTCCAAGATCGGGATATCTCTTGTACGATAACGACATTGGAAGGAAAGGAATAAGGATATACTTGGAATCCAGTACCATCCAGAAAGAGACGTGCAACAATTCATACCCAAGCTGTGATAAGCCAAGGGCGGCGTCTTGTAACAAATGAGTATCCACGAGCACAAAGGTCGGTAGGAAAAGCCGTTCCCGTATACCTGGCCACAGTACACTACATAATCAAGAACGAGTCCTATTTGCATAAGCCACGCATATTCAACACACACATTCAACCGTCACATACCTCAAGCAGTCAGATAATAAAACAAGTATTCATGCTATTTTAAACAATTACATAATGTTCAAGTCGCCGTAATCAATGCCTATTAGTTTATGTGCGATCGAACTGCTGAAAAGGATGCTGGGAAGTCGTCTTCATCGGACGCTAGATGGATTTTGGAAAACAATCAGGGAGGAGTGGTCAGGTCAGTGCAAAGCTGGTAATAGGCCCAGGCCAGATGGGAAATGTAGGCCCCATTTCAAACTGCTCATTAAGTATTTTTGTAATCAGTGCTAAATAGATATGATTTATGTACATGATATACTTACAAGTAACAGAAACAAATGAAAGAACTAGAACGATTTATAAAAGAAGGAATTGGCAAGCAATTTTATTCCAAATGTATATAAGACAACAGAGTACAGTACTGTAATAAGAAGCAGTAAATACAACAGTACATTAATGTTTATTCTATATTCGGAGGTAGGCCCCCTTGTAGGCCCATGCCAGCTGACCCACCTGGCCACCCCTCTGTTCTGGCATGGCAGTGGTGTGATTTGGACAGCCTCGCTATGAAGCGTTTTGCCATGGAAGCTCCACTAGAGGACTAAAATAAAGATGCACGCTCGTCAAATAGAGCATGAACGGACGTGGCGACATGAACTGTATCAACCCCTCTATATTTATAAACTAATAGTTGATATATATCAAAATATAACATGTGATTATAAACAGTTGTGATTTAAATATTTCAATTACGAAGAATTGTCATTTAGTTGTTCAGCTAATAAAATTTAAAAAAATAATATTAACATAAATATCCTAAATTTTTCCATATATTGTTTTAGTGATGTATTTAATATCAATTCATTTAATAACGTTTAATAGAAACGATATTGTGGAATTTTTCTCTTTCTTGCAATTTATAAGCACATTATTATTAATGTATCCAAAGCTATGAAAGGAACTTAGTAAATTGGATTTGCATTGAACTTATTTTAATATTAATTTCGGAGGTAAGAAGAACACTATTAATTTACATAACTTAGTTGTTTGAACTTTGGTATTAAATTTATATGCAATAGCAATTTTTCAGACGTACTTGTAGTCTGGGTCATTGTATAACGTGAAACAAACTTTCAAAATAACTTAAGTTAAAAATAAACGGTTAAAAGCAAACGAGTTAATTCATCATAAACCTATAACGATATGAATATTTTTCCCACGTATAAACGATTTGGTGCGTGATATTGCTCTCTGACTCGTTAAGAATTGCAGTTATCCTTACAAGGTTATTTAAAATGAGCTGGAAAATAATGTTTCATTTAGAAAGATTTTAAAACAAAAAATCAACCCGTTTGTCTGTGAGAAAATTCTCACCATGGAAGTATACTATAGCTGCTACACGAGAGAAAAAGAAAACTATTAAATGTGTCATGAATGTCTCAGTTTACAATAGAAGCATCGTGGAGGTCTTAGTAATAAAGTACTCGTTGTTTCAGGAAATAAGCAAAGAAAGAACCGAAATGAGAGGTAAGGATTATTATTATTATTATCTAACTATTTTTAGTTTTCAAAGGTGGGCTAAACTTTTATAACTAAACATGTTTCAACATTATTTACGCTTGAGTATATTCTTCTGGAAAAGTCCAATAATTAAAAGTTTCTTCTTAAGCACATTAAGTTATAATAGAGGAGCTGAAAATTACAGATTATCAAAAATGTAGCAAGTTAAATTACTAACATTTTCTAGCTAAAATAAGTCAGCAATTTCAAATGTTACTAATCTAAAGAACTGTGCAAAAACTATGGATTTAGTATGGAACCGAATTACCTAGGTTTTTAAAATATGTCATTTTTATAAGATAAATGTATTAAACTCATATTTTTATTTTTGGTTGTTACAATAAGTCTGTAAACCTTTCCCATCCCTTGGATTGAAGTACACAAGTGTTAAATAATGTGCATATATCGTAATCTAGAAAGGAAAAAGACAAGTATGATGAGCCAGATGAAAATTTAGAAGAATTGGCCACAAGAAAAAAATGTCCAGATATCATACCGGGTATGTAACGAATAGTTTGTTGTTAAGTAAAACGCTACACACAATGGGTTATTTTTGCAGTTTCCACTGGGGGTATCTAAACCGAATGTTATCGTTATAAGCCCTCATATTTTCCGCTGATCCAGCGGGGTGGTAGAGAGTAGTATGATAAAAAATGAAAAAGAGCATAGATAGATAAAAGTATAGTTCTTACTACATTTATTTATGTAACCATTTTCTACCGAGTAATCTGTGTTTCGTATTAGAATTTCGAAAGGTCTGAAATTGAGTTAAATGATACTTTAAGTTTAGTAGTTAAATCGTACTTTGGATTTGGCAGTTAAGTAAAAGCCGATATAGAGTCACTTTATGATATTTGCCAACAAAATTGATACACACAGTTTTCTTTTTTTAACACAAATATGTTTCAATATACAAACAAGAAGACAATTTACAATAACAATTATTACAAACAGTTTTTACACAAAATGATTTATATCCAAAAATTTTACAAACTTACATGCAATATAAAGTTTTCTTTCTAGTCTGGAACTTCCTTGATATATTACGGAGGGTTCACGATGAGCGAGTTAATTACGAGTTGACGTAGTTATAATTCATTTAACAGGGAGCTAACTTGCTTTGTCCTTCGCTATTCACCAGTCACACACGCCGTGTTTTCCACGATGAAGTTGTATAATGTTTTCGTAAAAATACTAATGTAGCCCCCCAGTGGCACAGCGGTATGTCTGCGGACTTACAACGCTAGAATCCGGGTTTCGATACCCGTGGTGGGCAGATAGCCCATTGTGTAGCTTTGTGCATAATTACAAACAAACAAACGAACTTTGTAAATGCTCCTGGTCAAATATTTGAAGTTTTCCGATTTATAAGCATTATAATAATCACAGTTATAGTTTCCGGAGTTTATATCACACTGACTATAACAAACTAATAATAGAAACTACTTTTTCGCGCATCGCGTTGGTTATATTTATAGGCGTATGGAGAGTTTCTAGAAAATTCAGATTACGTAACAATATAAAGCTACATTAAACGTTTATGTACATACATATATTGTTGATTCTTACACTCGAGAATCTTCTACAACTTTAGAGAATAGGCAGAAGTTTCGCAACACATATTTAACATTATAAGCTATGTATATTTCTAAATATAAATTCAATCTAAACAAACGTCGATATTAAATTAAATATATAATAATAAATCCGTCATAACTGATATAATAATCAGTTAATAATACAAGCTGATAGCTGTGATAGTCCCTCTTAGAATAGCTCCTATTATGTTTCTTTTGAAACCAAATCTATCTAGATGTAAGTTATTTCAATCACTATCTGAGAAAAAATATTTCAATGATAGCAAAAGGAAAAATAAAATATTGCTCATACCTTCATATAAGTAGTTTTGGTGTTGTAAAAAACATAAATATAATGATATTTTTCTCAGATATTTTCTTCAGCTTTCAAAGAAGTTGCGAAAACGTACTTATGTTAATTTTAAGTAATTATGAATTTGAAGAAGTTACAGAGGCAGTTAAAAGTAAAAGACGTGTTTTAAAGTTTCAAATAATATATGTCTGCAGACTTACACTGCTAGAAATCGAGTTACGATACTCGTGGTGGGCATAGCACAGATATCTATTGTGTAGTTTTATGCTTAACTACAAATCCAAGCAATAAATATATGTATAAGATAATGATTAAACACGAAATAATTGCAGGAAAATACCTCCGCAAGCATATCTGAATGTTCTGCATATTCATGGATGACTGGTGTAATAACATTAAACTATGAACCTGACAAGATTACGTATTAGTTATTTTTATCTAATATTTAGATTTAGAAATGGTTCTTTTCCTTGTCTCACACCAGGCATATTTAACTATTAGGTTTACACAGAAAAAGTTTTAGACTCGTTTGTTTGTAGTTAAGCACAAAGCTACACAATGGGCTATCTGTGCTCTGCCTACCACGGGTATAGAAACCCGGTTTCTGGCGTTGTAAGTCTGCAGAAATACCCCTGGGGGGGGGGAATTTAGATGATATAATTTCGGAAAGAATTATTTATTTTACTTAAATTCTTCCAAACAATCTGTAAACTTCATCTTTTAATGGAAAAAGAAAGTTTTGATTTTTCTCTTTGCGATTGGTTGGACTATCACATCTTTGTTGATCATAAAGTTTTCGCCATTAATTAAAACGTATAAGTCAGATAAGACCTCCTTTTAACCAGAGTTTTAAAGTAGTGAAACAAACTTCATACTTGAAGATAAAAGAAAAAGTAAACAATGCATTTATTAGGTACTATGTGTTTTTCTGTTTATGTCGATTTTTTAGGAGTTGTGGTTAAAGGAAATCGTTTAAGAAGTTCAAAAAGTTCAAACACCTACGATGACTTGAAAGAAGATTATGACTTCGCAACTGAGAATTTATGGACAGCAAATACACATTTATCGGAAAGTCAACGATTTGAAATGGTAAAATAGCAACAATTTACATGTTAATATATTGTTTTAATATCATCATATTTTAATCTAAGTTTAGGATATAATAAAGTTAACTGTAAGAAGCAGGTCCTTAGTTTTATTTTAACATTTTAATGACAAGCAAACCAAACTGTGTAGTATACGTTTTTACTTATTAGTAGTTCGTGGTAGAGAATTATGTTTAAAATAAGCAGACTTTTCTTTGTAAGAACAACTAAGATTACTTCTCAGTGATGTCCGAGAGTTTTTGTTTTGTTGATGTGCACATGAACAATAAAAGTGTTTTAATCAAGTAGGAAATACCATCGGTATAGCATTAATCGAATTATAATGCTTGGAGACGGCTTAAATGGGTAATGAAGAAAAACTTTAATATAAGTATAACATAACAGCAAATGTACAACGTTTCGACAAGGGTTTGACATCATCAGGTACAAGTACAAGTACCTGATGATGACAAAACCTTGTCGAAACGTTGTGTAGTTGCTGTTATGTTAAACTTATATTAAAGTTTTCTTTATTACCCATTCAAGCTTGCCGTCTCCAAGCATTATTAGTCTCAAAGTGGGTTCCTCGTCATCGAATTAAATCGAAAAAATTTTAATCAGGTTTGTTTTTTACATTTACTAGGACATCTAGTAACACTAACACTTCTGCATGATTTTATTCTTGTAGATTTACTGAGCATGTCACAGCTTACTACTGATTATTTTTAAACTTATTTTAATATATAATGTATCATAAAAGGATAAATCTCGTCAACATTTCATTTTATGATTCAGGCAACGTTACCAACACAGTCATGTCTAAAACAAGACAAGGAAGGATATATCGTACCACAAAGATGCTGTTCTTCATTTCACCCAGAGGAAAGGGGTGTTCGCGTCCTCCCAACTCCATCAGTTCATACGTTTATCTATGACACTGGCCAATCTGATATTCTTCTGTTCTCTCCTCGACAAACGGACGTCTAAGTGCTTCCGTCCAAGGCTATAGCTGAAAATCCACCATTATGTGGTATTATTGTTATTCTATCCACATAAGGACGTACTTACATGAGATCATCTACAGAGCGTAAAGCTAAACCAATGTTATTTGATCTAAGGCTGGTGGTCTGAGGCTTAAAATTATGGAGCGTTAATGCATATCATGTAATAAATAAATACAAGAAGCTGATTACTCGAACACTTTACGTAGGAGAAACAAAAACATTACAACTATATCTGCTTGTGCAAATATGGAATTAAAATATCATTTACTAGACATGTGATAAAATGGATGATCATTCATACAATTTTTAAGGACCGTACGATGAAAATTGTTTTTTCCTTAAATAATTTGTGCATTGCTGTTTGTAATTACAGTGAAAGATAATATCTTACAAACCCTTCACACTGTTGGCTCATTATTTGTTGTTTTTTTTTCTTGATGTAGCAAATGATATTTGGATAGTTTGACTATAAATCCTCAATGAAAATCTTGCAATCGATTGAATATATATCTCTATATCGGAATTCGAATATCAATCTGCAGTTATTTCACTTTTCTCAGAAAGCTCATCGTGTCTTTATGATTGGTTTAAATGTTTTTTCTCGATTTCAACGGTTTGAAAACACATATTTTATAATATATAGTTATTTGTAGACACAGGAAACGCATTGTTATAAACCAATATGAAAATAAATAAAATCTGAAGACTTGATGTACTACATGGTCATTAAAGTTTCATTAATAAAATAATAATATGACCTACCATGTATATGTATATATACGTAGCTTCGGGTCAGAAAACTGTTCAAACCTTTGTAAAGAAGTCCGTCATTAATCGTGTACTATAGTACTTTAAGAGTTAATGCAACCTACTCCTTCAGAAGAGTTTGTCTGATGTAAACTTTACAATTCGATTTAGGGATTTTTTTCCATACACACGTATCATGTTTCTGGCAGTAAGTCTCCAAATGCATTTCCTGGTTTAGAGTTAATAGGAAAATATATATTTTGTTTTCCATAGAATAATCATTAAGTGCATGCTTGCAATGCAATTCTTGTCATTTATAAGTTCGTGTATGTTTACAAATAGTAGCATTTGCAGACATTTCTTCGTTAAATATTCAGTTTTCTTATTTTAGGCTTTATTAATTCTGAAAAGAACTGTTTGTCTTTTTCTTAATAAACGATTTCTTTTTAAGATATATTACAATACAGAATATTGTTTTTTAATCATGTTCTTTCATAAGTTCAGCAAGAATATATTATAATAGGTATATTATATTGGCACAATACACTCTTAGTATGTTATAGATATGTGTGTGTATTTATGTTCTGTAAACTGTATTTACAATACTGCTGTATATAAATAGTTGACTACTGTTATTTTGCACATAAAAACAGAGCCATAGACAAACTTGCCAAAATGAATAATAAATTCTTCATAAAGTTGGAAGAGAGAACGCATGTAATATGAAATACAAAATGTAATCAACAATTATAATAGGTATTGATCAAGAAATCTAGTATTTGCTTTAGAATGAAATGAAAAGGTTCACCTATATAAGATATACGTGCGGTAATATTTGTCAGATATATAAAGGTGTGAACAAACCTTCGATTAAATCTGTTAGATATTATTATGAACACCAAGTAGTGTCCTTATTTAGATTATAAACACCAAGTACTGTCTTTATTTAGTACTGCAAACTGTAAATCAAGACTTTAAAAACACACAGACTGATCTTGTGCCTTTTGATTAAATAAAAGTCAATGAAAGGAGTAACGTACAAACAGAGATAAATCTCATCATTCCCCTACTTCTTCTTCGGTTGGAGTTACATTCAATAAATAAAAATACCTCTCCACAGAACAATAGCAAATCTATATGAATTCACATGTCTACATTTTTAAGCATTTCTTTCCAGCTTTGTATGTTCAATACACTTTATTTTCTTGATTTTCATTTTCCACAGCCATTGTATTTTATATACTGATTACGATTCTGTAGTGTTGTTTGATTAATCGCAACTGACATATGGATTCTAGTTAAAATGTTAAGAAATAAATAATTAGCCACATGAAAGATTAAGAGTATTTCCTTTCTTGTTATGACATTCGTCATGCAGAATATGACCGAACCACATGAAAAATACATTTTGAAAAGTAGAACAGGATATGATAGCTTTTAGTGGTACATGAACTTGAATCACCCAGAATACATACGTTTAATAACCTGTTGTTTTTAAGTCATTGCGAGTCAAATGAAAACTACTATCTTACCCAAATATCTACAAATATCATGAAATATTTATACCTGTGATAGGAGCCAACTCAACAAATTAAAACACTCTTTAGTTTTAAACATGTATTTCCTTATTTAGTGCTAAACTCGTTAAGTGATATCAGTTGTCCTTCAGGATCTTATTCATAGTTTCAGTTCATTTAGAACCTCTAGTCTTTAAGTATCAGACTGTGAAATAGAGATACCAAACGATTTAACAAAGCTTCGTATTCTTCTCTTATCCAGGTGTTTATTATAAATTTATTGTTTGCACACAATCTCTCCAAAAACATTGCCTTTTCAGATAAATTGTGGCACAGTACAGGAATAAAGCAAACAAGTTCGTTGGTATTACAAGCTATGTTTACACACGTGATGAAACAGTACTTCTACTAAAACGTGCATTCTTCAGTGTACTTGAAAGAAAAAAATCAGATAATGAATTTATTAAAACATAGGAATTACAAACGGAATTGTCTAACGAAAAACTGTGATTGTAGTATACCGTAAGCAACAGCATAAAACTGTGATTGGAGTATACCGTAAGCAACAGCATAAATATGAAAACTGTGATTGGAGTATACCGTAAGCAACAGCATAAAACTGTGATTGGAGTATATCGTAAGCAACAGCATAAAACTGTGATTGGAGTATACCGTAAGCAACAGCATAAAACTGTGATTGGAGTATACCGTAAGCAACAGCATAAAACTGTGATTGGAGTATACCGTAAGCAACAGCATAAATATGAAACGTCTCACATTATGAGAAAAATAGAAGATGTGAAAATCGCAGTAAGTATGTTAAATAAAATAAGTATACTATTTAGATAATTAACAGCGTGGAAAAGCCTACACTGTCTTGCACAGAGATATGGAAAACGTAAAACAAAACACTTGTGTATGTGTGCTATAATTTTGCTTTCATTAATTTATCGTTTACTTCTGTACCGATCCTTATTCAATGTAACATGTTTTCTATTCATTTTTTTGTGTTCGTTAGGACTTGTACAATACCTGAACATATACATTAAAAATATCTACTTATTTCATGGATAAATTTGTCTATGTAGTAGGTAGTTTAAATTCTTCAGTAGAATGTCAAAAAATATGTATTTCTACAATTTTTAAACGATAATATACAAAAATGAAAAAAAAAACAATATAGAAACTATAATGCTTAATAAACTTTCCTCTTCATGCTTTTGTAAGCTCCTCCTTCTATTGGTGATTTTTCATGATTGAAGATTTAATTTACATTTTTATATACTAAACTGTCGTAAAAATTTACTTATGTATCTACGTGACAATGATGTGACAACTAAATTACGGAATACACATTTGTATGGATATACATATACAAGAGACAATTGTCTCTAATTTATTATCTTAAGCGGATTTTCTAGCTTAGCACATTTTCCTACTGTTTCGGCTGCTGCTGCTGTGTTTTTTTTTTCACACTGCTAAAACACTTAAAGAATCATACGTGTTTATTCCCCAGTGGGTCAGTGTAAGTTCTCCTACTTATAAAGCTAAAATTCGGGGTTCGATTCTCCAGAGTGGACAGAGAGCAGCTAACAAGAAACTCCAACACCGCGCGAGTTTCAAATATTTTATGAATGCCAACCTCATTTTCCATGTCATATTTTTGCTCCTGAAATTTATATTGATACTCAACAGGTTGTTGTAGTTGTAGTCTACGAGCAGATACGAAAAGTTTGAGATGATATAAAACGAAGTCATCTCAGGCATTCCTGATGTTGGTTTTTCTGAAGGTATGTTGTAGTGATTTACACTGAGAGTTCACGATAAAATTATGTCAACGAAGATATTAAATTACTTCATCGCAATGATAAGCCATCGGTATGCTTGAGACTAGCCAATCACAACGATAATTCGATGATTGGAAAACCATCGGTAGGCTTCAGGCTAGCCAATCACAACGAGAATTCGATGATTGGCCTCAGGTGTGTCACAGCGTGGTTAGGAGATTATAGCTCTGTTCAGAAAAACAGTATAGTAGCTAGACCACCTAGACAGAAAATACATCCATCCACAACACCAAGAGATGATTGCTATTTGTTTTTATAATGACCCGTAGCAATCGTGGGTAATAAGTGTATCGCTTCAATCAGATTATTATTTTTTCACAAACTCTTCAACACAAGTTTCATAGGACCATTATCTACATCCTCTGGCTCGTATTCCCCTAATAACATGGCACAGACCGGCCTTTTCCAGTGTCTAGAACATGATGACATATGTGCCTCTGTTCACAGATGAGCCAAATTCTTTCTTCAATCGCAATAATAATCAGTCTTGGTGGACTTACATATCCTTACTTTCTATGTAATTCCACACGAATGGTGTACGCTATAGCAATGACGTCCTGTGTCAATTGGTATTCCCTTAGGCAAGTACAATAGATCCAAAGTACGTCTCCACAGCGTTCAAGCTCAGAAAAGACTTCATTTAAGTGGACATTATTGAACGGCTGGAGTGACCTATATGTTCCTCAGTTTCAATCCCACAGAGTATGTCTGGAATTATCTAGAATAATGGTTTCTTGCTCGCAATGTGCCCTTGGTGACTTTTTAACAATAGAGTGGGTAAGATTGATACACTAATATAAAATACTTCACATCGATAGCAGGCCAGGATTTATACACATGGGGATCATACGCCATATTAAAGACATTATCTGACATTTGTTCTTCTCCAAAATGTCTTTTAAACATAATGGTATTTCATGAACATGCTACATTATACCCAATATACTCTTTGGATAGCAATAAAATGCAGGAAGTTATCCAATTCCAGTGTGCATGAAAATACATTTTAAAGGAAGGTTAGTATCCAATGTATTTTAGTTGCAACTGCTTGAAAAGACAGAACCTGCATGCTCCCTTAATTCTTTGAGCATTGTATAATTCTGAATTGTCTTTATAAATTTACGAGTTATTTT